TGCTAGGCTGGCTGGTTGCCAAGCTCGGAAGAGTCAGTCTTTGAATGCTCTTATAAGGCACAGCACTTGTTCTAGCAGTGACAGTCTCCTCCCAGGTGTTCCAGCCAGGCTCTGGGTCTGGAGTTCTGCATCTCGGTAGTTTTCTAGGCCAGGCAGGCTCTGGAGTTGGCTCTGTGTCTCCAATGCCTTTACTTCTATATACTTTAAACAGCTCTCCAACCTCTCATCTCTCTGTCTGCAGTATTATCTCAGACTTTTGTTCTTGCTGGGTCTTCTTTCAGGAAGGCTCTGACCTTCTCTTGACTGGCATTGGTGTCAGTTGAGTCCTTTTTTTTTTAATCTCTTTCAAGGTTTACTTATGGGTCTCTAAAGCAAGGTCAACAGAAGAGCTTACATGATCTCACTGGAGTTGGTTCCTGTGGGAGACTGCCAGTGCTCATAATAGTACAGGGAAGTGGGGGAGGTAGCCTGTTGGAGTACACAGAGCTTAGGTTTATCAGATTGTACCCATCACAGTGCTCCCGAGTCACTCCCATTACTTTGTCAGTCTGTAACCACTTCTATGCTCTCTTCCCCAACCAATTTGTAAGGTCTCATCCTTCTTAGACACTGAAGCTGTACTGTAAGTTAATATTGCCTTTCTCCTCTCCTTATGTCTTTTGAGCAGTTTACTTTAATGCAATGTCCTTTTGTATAGATACAGGAAGACAATTAATTAATATGCTCGGAAACCTAAGAATTGATTGGCTTTGAATATTATTCACTCCTGGGCATCTGCCTTCTCAACTTAAGCCTCAGTTGCCCTCACTTCCTAGCAACCCAAGGGCAGGGTCCCGACGTGGGATTGGATGGAACCAGGGCAAGCTGGTAAGTTATGTGCTACCCTGGCATCGCGATGGGCCAGGCCAAGGTGCCACGATTCTTAACTATAAGTTAAGAGGTTGATCATAGGCAAATGATGTCATGATCCAAAAGTAACGACGAGACTAGGGCCCTGCTGCTAGGAATAGGAAAGATATCTGGCCTGAGCACTGCAGTCTGAAATCGAGATGGCCCTAGGAGAGCAATTCTAAGCTCAAAGTATTTCTTACTGTGTCCATACGAAATGATTAATATTATGTATGCTTATATGTTGGTTGGACAAGGAGAGGAGAAACACGTCCTAGTAGCAGTTTCCTGTGTGTCCTGACTAGCTTGGATGAGACTGCTTTTTTGGAGATGTAGATTCCAAACTCTAGCAGGTCTTTGTTGTGCTAATCTAAGTGCTTGTAGCTTGTGAAAAGGTGAGGCCAGGATTACTGGCCTGCGGATGTAAGGAAACAATGTATGTTTGCCCCCTCAATGTTCTTTCTGTAACTCCTTTTGATGACATCACTATATTGCGCCCTTTAGAGGTACTATGATCTATATAAGGGAGATTTCAGGGCTCTCTGGGGGGACACGCGCATCAGAGAACCTGGGAAGATGGGGCTGAGGACAGAAGCTGGGAGAACAAAGGCGCCCGTGCTCGGGGATTCCTGAGGCCTCCATGACATACATCTCTTCCATGTAATAAACGGCTGCTAAGACCAACCAGCTTGGCCTCGTTTCCTTCCTTCGCCTGACCGTCGCCATTGACCTCCCTGGAGTGGGGAAGCGGCCTGACCGCCGGCTTTTTACTTTTTGTGTGTTTACACAGTAGCCCACCCTAACTCCGAAAAAACCTGGAGATTTTTGTTACAAAACACAAATATCCGAATTTTCAACAAGTTAATATCTCAGTGAGGTTTCTCCTGAAATAGTGGAGTCTGGTCAGGAGCATGGCAACGATTTTAGTTTGTGGGAACAAGCGGCTGCCAGGGACTCTGCTTGAGGTGCGCGGGAGGTAGGAAGGGGCGGGGGGATCAGACTGACCACCTGCTCTGATTTACCCTGAGACTAGTCTTGCACAGGTCTGAGATTAACTGTGGCTTTTGATCTCTTTTGATTTGTGGGTTTTGATTTTGGATTTTGATTTATGGGTCTCTGAAGCAAGGCCCACAAGATAGATGAGCTGAAAGTGGTCTGTGGGCGTGGCTCCCAAAAAAATCTAACGTTTAACCCTTTAATTTCTCAGGAAACTTGGTCCCAAGTTGTTGGGGTCTGTCCAGAGGCACAGAGGCTACTTTGGGGTATCAGGAAGCCTGAAGGCACCATCAGGCTGTTGTTGCACTTGCCCTACAGGTAAGGTTGTCCTGCTGGTGGCCAGTACCCCCCCACCCCCAGTTAAAAGTCTGAAGAGGCTTCGTTCCTTTGTCCACAAAGTATTTCTGACCGTCATGCTCTTGGCTACTTTAGGGCTAGTGACAAAGTAATTTCTTTTAATAGTATCTTGGTTTATTATCTCTTAGGAACTCACAGCCAGCCAGCCCCCTCTATCAGCCTATTTCACTATGGATCAATGCTGTTTAATTTTTAATGTTTTGGTGTGTGGGCCACACCCAGAAGTTCTCAGGGCTTATTTCTGGCCCTGTGCTCAGGGATCTGTCTGACAGTGCAGTGCCAGGTATGAAACCCTAGTCAGGTGCTTGAAACGCCTGTGTCTTAACTCCAGTACTATCTGCCCGACTCCAGGATCTTATTTTAAGTTGAAATGGCTACAAACTGAATGTAGCCTGCCCACACGGCAGAGTCTGGCAAACTCCCCGTGTCGTACCCAATATGCCAAATACCAGTAACAATGATGGGTCTCATTCTCCTAAAGAGCCTTGAATATAATCTCAGGACTAGGATGAAGGAGACGTTACTGGGGCCTGCTCTAGGCAATCGACGATTAACAGGATGATTTGTGATTTGTGATTTTGGCATCAAACATAAAAAAAGAAAAATGATTATTGTTGACTTATATGAAAAACATTTTTGAGAATTTTCAGATTCACAAATTACCATATAAAATCATACACAAATAACATAGAACCCAGACACTACCACTCATGAAGGCGAAAACTCTATGATGAAATTCTGGGTCACTGAACAGCTGCTCAGCATTATTTTTGCTATTTGACTTTTGTTGTAACTGTAAGCGTCTCCTTTGAATTCCTTTTAGCTAAAAAAAAAAAAAAGGTACTAATACAGGTCTTTAATGAAAGTCAAATGACGTACACAGACTTTCAAAAAGTAGGCAATACCTGTGATCTTACACCTTGAACTCTTCCTCTGACAAATGAGATAGCCAAATTTCCAGGGGTTAGCCAATCTGCTCCAGTCATGCGGTTATTTAATGGCAGATCCTTGGCTTAAGGATCTTGGCTCTAAGGACCACTGAAGCGTTGCATATTACCTCTCTACCTTTCATTTGCTTGGGTTTAGGGGCCCGCACATGGTAGTGCTTGGGAGGCGAGTGACTCCTGGCTCTGCTCAGGGAACTGTTCCATATAGGAACAGAATCTCCTGAATGCAGAGCAAGCGCTTAAGCCACTGAGTTCTCTCTCCTGCCCTCTCATCTCTTCTCTTTTCTTTTTTAATGCCAGGCACTTTCCTGCTCTGCTTGGGACACAGTGTCCCTCTGGCTGCAATAAATCGTCTCCCACATAGTTATACTTCTCAACTGGGTGAGTTAGTTCTTCCAGGAAGCTTTAAATCCCTTTCTACTGTTCAAGTCAGGTCATCGGCATACCTCCCAAGGCACATCTTTTTTCTTTCAGATTATCAGCATTTACACATCTTCCATGTACGTGTGTGTGTGTGTGTGTGTGAGAGAGAGAGAGAGAGAGAGAGAGAGAGAAATAGAGAGACATTAGGTGGTTATATCTTTAAGGGAAAAAAAGATTGAGCTTTACTCTCATCTGACTTGAACCGTATAGGCAGGGGTTCGATCACCGTATGACTGAAACTCAAACATGCAAGTTTTATAATTGTAGCTTACCGTGATTCAATTTTTAAAAAGTTAAGCATCATTAACTGCTTGATGCTTAGTTAATATGCAAAGATTTGGGGTAATTTTTTAGCTTGATTTGAACTTTTACTATCTTTTGGTATGTTCTGATTTTTCTCCTGACCTAGCCAAGTTCTTTTCAGAAGAAGCTATAACATGTGACCAAACATGTTGGATTTAGAATCAGAAGGCTTAGATTTGGTCCTTGTTCCCCTATTTACAAGCTTTGATACTTTGAGTAGTCGCACAGTTTCAGATCCAAAGATTCTCAGCACTGTTAAATAGGGATAATAATATCTCAAGGATAAATATAATGTTGAAGTTTCTAAAAGAAGTGCACAGCCTCCATATACATCTTAAAAATATGAATGTCTTACAGTGACTAGGATCCTGGGCTGTGCTTAAGAGTTCCAATTCTGTAGTTCAGAAAGGTTAGTTCAAATTCCAACCCACATTATTATTGCCTAAACCAGTATTTCTCAACCTTTTTCCAACTATGAAAAAAGCCTTCTTTCCATCTTGTGATCCCTCAACTATGCACAGCCTCTGATTATTGCGACCTGTCGCCCTTATAGAATATCTTGGGGGCCCAGTTGAGAAATGCTTGTTTATACAGTAATTTGTATTACTGTATAAGCAGTAATTATTTGCTAATTTTTGTCGAGTGTTTCTTCTGTACACATAACTCATATTGAATATAAAGTAAAGGGCTGGAGCGATAGCACAGCAGTAGGGCGTTTGCCTTGCACGCAGCCAACATGGCTGACCCGAGTTCGATTCCCCCGCCCCTCTCGGAGAACCCGGCAAGCTACCGAGAGTATCTCGCCTGCACGGCAGAGCCTGGCAAGCTCCCCGTGACGTATTCGATATGCCAGACACAGTAACAACAAAGTCTCCAATGGAGGCGTTACTGGGCCCACTCGAGCATATTGAATATATTCTGCATTTATGGTTCTGTTCTATTCTAAGGTATGTGGTCTGTGCTTTTGATTATTTTGCTCAACATAAGCTCTCATAGAAAAGAATTCAGTAATTATTACTATAATTTACATTTATTCTCAAAATAACCCAGATTTTCTGTACTGGAAGAGCATCAAGTGACCAAAGCAAGAGTAAAAAGTAGTTTACATTCCATACAATTGTTGTCATCATACGTCTTTGTGTTCAAATCACTTTAAGTCGGGATAAATTGTGGAAATGAAAGCCGAAAGGGATCCATTAAATAATATTTGGAATAAAATCATTTGGCCTAATTTTCATAACCACATACTTTAGAGAATACCACCACCCCAGCCAGGTGTGCCAGACGATGCCGTTGTCTGTTTTGGCTCTGTAAGGACCTTGGTAGTACAAGCCGTTCAGGTTCGCAGAGTGACACCTAGTGGGAGGAAAAGAAGAACTCTTAGACCAGAAAATAACCCTGGATGCTGCTAGAAAGTGAATTTTATTTATTTAAATTTAAATTTTTATATTTAATTTTACTTATATATTGCTTTATTTATATATAAATATTTAAATTTAAAATGTAGAAATACATTTTAACCATGTATTCTGTCATTCTTCAGACAATGAAAGATACAAGTTTCTAAAACCCAAGATATTGCTAAAACAAACTGGGTTTTGAAATAGTGAGCTTGGATAAGAGGGAGAGAAAGAGAGAGAGAGAGGAGACAAAGAGAGAGAAGAGAGAGATGAGAGAAGAGACAGAGGGAGAGGAGACAAAGAGAGAGGAGAGAAAGGAGGAGAGAGAAAGGAGAGAGATAAGAGAAGAGAGAGAGAAAAGAAAAGTGTCTGTCACAAAGGAGGTTATCGAAGAAGACAGGTGGGGAGCAAAGGCAGAAGGGAAACTGGGGACATTGGTGTGGAAAATGTACAGGGTGAAGGGATGGTGTTGGAACATTGTATGACAGAAAATCATACACACTTTTGTAACTGTGTCAAGTTACAACTGTGGTTAGTTACAACCTTTGACCAGACCTCCTAATATTTGTTTACCCTGGTCATGGATATTGTTCTTTTATATATATATATAATTATATATAATATATATTATATAATATATATTATATAATCTTTATATATATAAAACTTTTAATTGAATCCCATGTGATTCAATTAAAAGTTCTAAAAAATAAATAAATAGCAGTTTGGCGAGGGGGTGGTGGGGAGATAGTACAGAGGCTAAGGTGTTACCTTGCAAACACAGCCAACCCCAGTTCAATCCCTGGCATCAAATATAGTTCCCCAAGAACTACCATGTGCAATGATCCCTAAGCTCAGAGCCAGGAGTCAGTCTTTTGGGGTTGTGGAACAGAGATGGGTTATATCCAGCAATTCTTAGGGATTACTCCTGGCTCCTGTTTTCAGGGCTCACTTCTGGATGGACTCAGTGGACCATATGGGATGCTAGAGACTGAACTCAGGTCATCCACACGCAAGGCATCTCTGTACCATCTCTCTAGCCCCAGGAGTAAATCTTGAGCACAGATAGTGTGGCCAAAGTCATGTATCCTAACTTCCAAAATGGTATTTTTTAGGGTCTCAATGGACTGCATCTCATGCTTCGCGTGATGAGGGAAGCCTGGCTTGATTCATGGCACACCATGCTTTCTCAAGCACAGAGCAAGAAGTAACCCCTGAGTACCACTGGGTATGGACTCTAAACCAAAAATAAAATAAAATAAAATTTTATGGTAGATTTCAGTGCCCATAACAAATCTCAAGACAGAACCCAAGCCACTTTCAATGAATTAAGAAGCATTTCTAGATTCTTCTAGGAGCAAGAATATAGCATTATAATACATATATATATTTATATATATATAAAAGAACAATATCCATGACCAGGGTAAACAAGTATTAGGAGGTCTGGTCAAAGGTTGTAACTAACCACAAGTGTGTGTCGAGCTGAGGGTAGGTAAGATAGAGAAGATACCACTCTGACGATAATAGATGGGAATGATCATGCTGGACAAGATCTGAGGGTTAAAAGTAGGTGAGGGATACCCTTGGTAACCTTTCAGTAACAATATTGCAAACCACAATGACCAAAAGGAGAGAGAGAGAGAAAGAGCACTTGCCATAGAGGCAGGCCAGGAGTGGGGGATGATGGGAGGAAACCTCGGGACACTGGTGCTGGGAAATGCACACTGGTGGAGGGATGGGTGTTGGAATACGGTATGACTGAAATCCAATCATGAATGGCTTGTAATGCTCTAAAAAATACATTTAAAAAAAGAATATGGCATTATAGTGTTTTGCATAGGGTCTACCCAGGTTCAACCTCCAGTGCCATCTATGGTCCTCTGAGCTGAGCCCAGAATTATCCCTAAGTGCTGAGTCAGAATTAAGCCTTGGATACAGCTAGGTGTGGCCCAAAAACCAAAAGAAGAAGAATTTCTTTTGTTAAAAGCCTGAAAGAAGGAAAAAAGGAAGATGGAAGGGAGAAGGAAGGAAGGAAGGAAGGAAGGAAGGAAGGAAGGAAGGAAGGAAGGAAGGAAGGAAGGAAGGGAGGGAGGGAGGGAGGGAGGGAGGAAACACAAAATCGCAACCTGTGACCTTTAACCTTAGCAAGAGTGGCACAGGCCAACAATGCATGTATGGTCTGGAACTTTCTCACCAACATCCCGAGATAATTTGCACTTGTGAGTCCACTAATCTGCTTCCGAGACTTAGTTTTCACAATTCAAACTCCCTTCCTTCCCCTTTGAAAATCACTAGCATACCAATTATTTTAGCTACCAGACTAAGAAAACAATCCCCCAAAGAGCATTTTGTTTGTTTGGGGACCACAAGGTAGTGCAGTTCTCAGGGGCTACTCCTGGCTCAGTGCTTAGGGTTGCTCTCCCCACCCAATGCTCAGGGGACCATGCAAGGTGCCAGGGATCAAACCCGGGACTCCAGCATGCAAACTATTCTGCCCCTTTGAGCTATCGCCACAGGACCCTCAAAACAGTTATTTAAAGTTTTCTGAAGCATGAACTCCTTTTTTTCAGCATTCTTTACATATATTGCTGCTATGTAGAGAAACTGGTGAGATTATGATACATTTTTAGATACGTATAATGTTAATTTTTAATATGCTCCTTTAGAAACTAAACAATGATATGGGCAGCTACATGTAAAAGTATGTTATGTGTGGCTTAGAGTGAGGCCCTGAGGGTGTGGTGCTATGAGGACACTGCTGTGGGGTGGAGGGGGGGTAGGGAGCAGCAGCATCCTGGAGCACAGTCACGTCTATAGAAGCCCTGCAACTAACAAGTAGGACTGAAAATTAAAAAAAGAAATAAATGAACAAAAAGGTGCTAGGACTGGAGCCAGGAAGCAGAAACTGCACTGAGCACCTGTGTGAGCAAAGAGAATCCAGCAAAACCCCACAATCCAGTGTGATTGACTTGGTCCCAGTAACAGCGACAAAGGGATGGGGGTGGAGGAGGAATCAAATGACTCAACTGTCAAAACGCAAACAGAAGAGGGCTGGGAGGTGGCAACTAAGGGCTGGAGGACACGCTTTGCATGCTCAAAGCCCTGGGTTGCAGGGGTCCAGGCTGTGTGTAACCCTGATGACCCCTGAGGCGGGCGAAGCAACAGCGCATCATTGAACCATCAGGTCTGCATGACCAGGCTGAGTGCCATGGGGAGTAGACCCTGAACCCCTGAGTACTGCTGGGGAGACTCACGAAAATGCAGACTCCAGGGCAAATAGTTTAACTATGGAGATTTGGCTTAAAACACCTTACTCCCTAACACTCAGCAAGACCCCACAGAATCTATAACTCTACAATCAGCTCCAAATAAGGACAGGGTGATCTTAGAGGAAAATAAACCCAGGCCTGATATCTCTCCTCTAAACACTAGAGCAAACTTTGCAAAAGTGTTAAAAATCCGGGTTTGGAAAGTGAGTGTGCACTCAATGGGCTGAGGGTAGGCTTTGCATGTGGGGAGCCTGGGTTTGATCCCTGGAACCACATGGAACCCCTGAGCATTGCCAGCAACAACTCCTGAGCACGGAGCTGTAGTAGCCCCTGAACAATACCAGGTATGATGCGAGAACAAAACAACCATAAGAAAAAGTCAAAAATCTGGATGGTGGCATTGACATGACAAAGCCTCAATTGCATGGATAATGTAATATCCCAGGAATACTCGCTAAGGAAACTATAATGGAAAGCACAAACATGCAAATATTTTGAGGCTGCCCTGTCTTCCAAAATCTTACTGAAAATAAGATTCAATGAATGAGAGCCACAGTGATTAAAAAATAGTATTAGACAGAAAAGATTACAACAGTATCATAATTACGTCATAGGATCAAAAAAGGTGCAGTTACCTGGTTATCAGAATGCCAAAACAATTTTTCCCCTTAATGAAGAATTTTCTATTTCTTTGTGTTGCTTTGTGGCCTGTTGCTTATAAGTTACCCATAGTTTGCAAACAATCTTTGTTAAAGTAGTAATTTGATTTCTTTCATGACCTATCTTTCAAGCATTGCTAATGTGCACAGTGAAAAATTCCTTAGAATACTTCATCACTGAAGAATTCTAATAAGGATGACTACTAAATAAAACTAGTCCTATAAAGGAGACCAGCATTACCTCACATATCATAATTAATGCCCAACTGTGAGATGTTATCATCACCTTTACTCTGTTTATAAAACATCAAACCTGTTGAACCACCAGCCAGACTGATCTTCCTCTGCACAGTTCCCCTCATAGTTGTCATTATCTCTGTCCCACGTGCTGAATTTCATCCTTTGGTGACTGGCCCACCACTGCACCTCAGGGTGAGAATTCCCTGCAAGAGCATTTCCAGCCGTTCCAGCATATTCCCCAATATTCAACTCATAAAAAGTCTAAAAAATAAAATATATGTATTTATTTATATATATATATATATAAATGCAAGTTCTACAATCAGGTAGTTACATTGTTTTACATTGTGCAACTGGTGAAAGAATGATTCTATTGTCTATTTTTGTTTCCACTGACTTCAGAGTTTTTATTAGGTGTTTTATGCAGTAACTCAGCATTATTTAAAATTTTCAATACCTTTTCATCTCCAACTTTGAAGTTTTTATATTGTGCATAGCGACTATTCTTTTCAAAATCTGTAAGATCAATCTTTAAAGTATAATCACCTGGGGAAAAAATACACAGAGAGACCAAGAAATAGTAGTTATTTTTATAAATATGACATAATTTTAACTTATTTGGTTTACAAATATCACTATATTCCACTTAGACCATTTCCTTCTGCTGCTATGAGTGAGATTGTAAAGATAAACAGTGTATACAACAGAATGTTTTATTATGTTTTAATATAAAATGTTTTATCATTAAATGTTTCATTATGAAAAAAGTAGGGATAAAATATTAAAGACAGAAATGTTTACTTAGATGCAGAAATATACAAACAAGAGCAATTCTCCTGTCAAACAGAAAATAAGAAAACCAACACTGAAGGGGGATGGCTTAAGTGCTGGAGAGCTCAGATTGTTCTCAGGAATTCCAAGTTTGATCACAGCAAGAGCACCCAAGTTTACCAGCAGGGGGGATGATCTTAAAATAAATGACAGGAACCCAGCACCAGTGGGGTGAGGAGGCGGGGGAGGGGACTGAAGTCCTTGGTATTGACAAGTAACATCTCTCTCCACTGTCCCATCATTCACAGATAATAAGGCTCCTTTTCAGAACAAGTGTCAGGAGCATAGGAAGCAACAGATCAAAGTCACCTTAAGACAAGTATGTTCTACTGGTGGAGGGATGGGTGTTGGAATACAGTATGACTGAAATTCAGTCATAAATGGCTTTGTAATTCTCTGAAAAAAATAATAAATTAAAATTTTAAAAAAAGACAAGTATCTTCTATTCTTCTACATTTGCTAAAGAGAATTTTACAAAGACCTGTAATAACAATTTTTTAAAATATGCTTTTTATCAAAGCAAGAATATGAAAATAAAATCACAGTAAGATGGTTTGATTTTAGGGTGCTGGACTCCACAGGGAGACTGAGGTGGGAGCCCCCGGGAGGGAGTGCATGCTGTGTGTGCACCAAGTCCCGGCTTCAGTCTTGACACTCTATGATTCTCCAGGTACTGCCAAGAGTGTAGACCCCGAGTACCACAGTCCATGGCCCAAACTCAAAACAAATCAAATATCAACTCATCAGGTTTCCAAACCAGAACGTTGGAGGCCACAGCAAGAGAGCACCTAGGCCGGTCACATAGACTGACAAGGACCACAGACAACCTTTCCTGGCCTCAGTACTGGGAGTGAACTTCCCAGGAACATCATAGTACCTAAAAAATCCAGAAGAGGCCCAAACAGTAAAACAAAACAACATGAAGCCTCAGTGCCACCTGCAGGTAATGTAAAAGTAATTCAACTCTCTAAATTGCAGATTCAGACTATTCCAACCGGAGTGCCCGAGAGCAGATGACTGGTTAAAGAAACTATGGTACATCTAGACAATGGAATACTATGTAGCAGTTAGAAAAAATGAATTATGGAATTCATTTATAAATGGATGGACATGGGTATTATCATGCTGAGTGAAATAAGTCAGAAGGAGAGGGACAGACAGAGTGATTGCAATCATTTGTGGGATATTAAAAAAACGTAGTAAGAGACTAATACCCACGGACAATAAAAACAAGACCCAGGAGGACTGGTCCACAGTTGGAAGCCTGCCTCAAGTGTTGGGGGAAAGGCAATTGGGACAGAGAAGGGACTACGATGACAAAGATAGTTGGAAATGATCGTGCTGGATAAAAACTGCATGCTGCACGAGCGGCTCTCCAGCACGGCCACGACTCCAGAACACAGAAACCAATTTCTTAACTATCTGACTTTCAGTAGAAATACTTCCAGGGTCAATAGGTAAAATAGCAGAAATCCAAAACCAACATTTAATTCTTGAACCCAGCTGTAGAAAGCAAATCACTTCACAATGCTTTTTCAGCATGTCTGATTTGGGGGGGGGGGGGGAACTCTAAATAATAGTGGTGAATCTTTTATTGAAACAATCTAATCAAAGCGGATAGAGTGTTAACTAGAATTCATCTGCCTCACAGGGACGGGGAGGGGTGGGGGGTGGGGTTTTATTGGGGTTCTTCATGGGAAAAAATAAGTATTGGTAAAGGGAAATGTGTTTGATATTTGCATGACTGAGACATAAACCTGAAAGCTTTGTAACCTTACCCACAGTGATTCAATAAATAAATAAAAAAAAAAAAAGTAAAAAAAATAAATAAATAAAAAAAAAAAACTGCATGCTGAAGATAGATAAAGAAACATGATAACCTCTCGGTGTCTATATTGCAAAACACAATGCATGAAGAGAGAGAGGGAAAGAGGGAGGGAGAGAGAGAGAGAGAGAGAGAGAGAGAGAGAGAGAGAGTCTGCTATAGATATGGCTGGGGTAGAATGGTGGCAAAGAAAATGGCTTTATTGGTGGTAGGAAATGTACACTGGTAGAGGTATGGATGTTGGATCATTGTATGACTGAAACCTGACCATAAACAACCTGTAACTATCTCACAGTGATTCACTGTCACTGTCACTGTCCCTGTCCTCACGTTGCTCATTGATTTTGCTCAAGTGGTCTCAGTAACATTGTGAGAGTTGTTGCTGTGTATGGCATATCGAATACGTCACAGATAGCTTGCCAGGTGCAATCGGTTAGCGCGTGGTACTTATACGGCAGTATGTGCACAGTAATTCAATAAAAAGAAAATGGGGGTCAGGTGGGCACTTGCCTTGCATGCAGCCAACACTGGTTGGATCCTAGGAATCTCATATGGTCCCATGAACACTTCCAGGAGTGATTTCTTGTGCAGAGTCAGGGGTAACCCCTGTACATGACCAGGTGTGGCCCCCAAAACAAAAACAAACAAACCAAAAAAAAAAAAGAAAAAAAGGAGGGGCATGGAAGCAGGGTTTAAAGGGGCAGATGAAAACAGTAACCCTTGAGAACTTGAGATCTCAATGGAATATGACATTACAAGAAGAAAACAATTGTCCGGAACCCAACCTCAAAGATTATGGCTTCCAACCAGATAAACTTCCAAATTGTAAATAAACTCAGAAGCAGAAAAGAAATTAATAAAGACAAATCAAAGTTACAAAGCTTAGGAAATTAATAAAAGGTAAAGGTAAAGGCCCTCCCGTTGTTCGTCGATTTGCTCGAGCGGGCCCAGTAACGTCTCCATTGGAGACTTTGTTGTTACTGTGTTTGGCATATCGAATATGTCATGGGGAGCTTGCCAGGCTCTGCCGTGCGGGCGAGATACTCTCGGTAGCTTGCCGGGCTCTCCGAGAGGGGCGGAGGAATCGAACTCGGGTCAGCCACATTGGCTGCGTGCAAGGCAAACGCCCTACCGCTGTGCTATCGCTCCAGTCCAGGAAATTAATAAGAGATACCAAAAAATCCCTTATAATGAAAGGGCTCAGAAAATTTTAAAGTCAATGTCACAGTGCCTTGCGCGCAGCCGGTCCGGCTGAAACATAGGGAAGGAACTAACCATGGGTAATGACAACCCTGCTTTTTTCATTGTAAAAAGGGAGGGATCTGGGCCATACAGTGGGTAGGGCATTTGCCTTGCATGAGTCTGACCCAGGTTTGATCCTCAGCATCCCAAATGGTTCCCCAAGCACTGCCAGCAGTAATTCCTGAGTGCAGAGCCAGAAGTAACCCCTGAGGATAGCTAAGTGTAACTCAAAAAAAAAAAATGGAGGGTAGGGGTCCTAGAGACTGGGATGGAGGAAAGCACCAGGGGGAAGGTCCTCTGCTAGAAGCTATAGAATAGCAGCTTTATATTCCTAAAATATTAATATTAGCGCTATTGTAAGTCACAGTGCCTAAGTAAAAGCCAACAAGTGAAATCAATGAACAGAAGGTAAAAAGTCAAGCTTTTAATAATAATGGAGATTCGGACTGTAAAGAATTCAATAAAAGAGATGAAGAGGTCTAGAGAATGCTATGAAAACAGATTGAACCAAATGGAGGAATGAACCAGTGATTTGGAAGACAATAATGTACAAATGATTCAGGTAGAATTAGAGAGAACTGAGATAAAACACTATGAGAACAATTGGACTCTGTTAGGAAAAGTAATATAAAAGAAATGACTATCTCAGAGGGCAGGAGCATTTATGGGTAGGGCATTTGCTTTGCACGTGACTGACAGGGTTCAATTCCCAGCAGCCCATCTGGTCCCCTGATCCCCCCTTTCATCATTTCACACACTGTCACTGTCCGCCCATTGTTCATCGATTTGCTCGAGGAGGCCCAGTAACATCTCCATTTTGAGACTTGTTGTTTTCTTCATTTAAATAAGTCAAATCTACAAAGAGGCCTTCTATCCAAAAAGGATCTTGCCAACTGCAGATCACATTAATTATTGGACTACTTTCATTGTCTTTGACTCAGTAAAATACAAACACAACACATACACACACATGCACACATCTTACTTTATCTATATTATATTCCAAATGAAATTGATATCCAGCAAAACTTACCTTGTGAGGTTAATAAGTGAAGATTTTTATTACCCAGCCAATATTCACCATTTGGTCGAACAAAATTTCCAAAACCATTTTCGTAGTCATCCCAGCCTCTAAAACATTTAAATCAAAAGTTGGTTTTTAATAAAATTTGAACAGATCTTTGTACTCAAAGGCAATCACCCCCACCTTTCCACCCCTCCCCCAAATATTTTCTTCATTAGCTAATGTGTTTTCAGTGTTCTTGTTTTCAGAGAGTAAAATTCTGTCCAATTAAAATACTTCCTAACACAATAAAAAAGTTTAATTTACTATCAAATTCACATTTGTTCTTTCAAGTCAATCCTTATAAGTAGCACACCTGTTAAAGTTCTCACTGCCATCAGATCGTCTCTGAATTACTGTCCATCCTCCTCCATCAGACATATCACAAAAAACAAAGAATTCTGCTGGGCTCCGAAGAGGTTTGATTTTGTAAAATCCACTCAGCTTGTACCCATCATTGAAAATCTCTGAACAATCTACAAAATGAGATTTTTTTTTAATCTGTGGTCATGGTTTTATTTTTTTTACACTTACAAAGATGTTCATAATTGGGTTTCAGTCATATAACGTTCTATCACCCATCCCATCACCAGTGAACATTTCCCAACACCAATAACCTCAGATTCCCTCCCATAATGCTCCCACCCCAACCCTGCCTGCCTCCATGGCAGGCACTTTTCTTCTCTCTCTCTCTCTCTCTCTCTCTCTCTCTCTCATTCTCTCTCTCTCTCTCTCTCGTTCACTCAATGAGATGTTTAACATTTTCACGTGCTTTGTTTTTTTAAGGGAACCTCTGAATGCAATTACTCAATTACTCAATACTAATAAAGTAGTTAAACACATCATGGTATAGATAAGTAGGTCTAAAAACTATGCCTTGTACCATTTCTAGTGGTTTTAGGAAAGTCTTATTTCCTTCCCAAATATTTATCATCTAAATCTTTGACACAGCCATGGGTAGGTAAGGTCTAAAATAAAGATCTAGTTTCTTATTTCTTATGTTTATTAAAAACACTTTTTTAATTACATGGTATAAAAATTTAAGAAATTCTCATCTAATATATATGCATATGTATGTACTTGGTTTGGGGGCCACACCCAGCTGTTCTGAAAGCTTACTCCTGGCTCTGTGCTCAGGGATCACTCCTGGCAAGACTTAGGGGGCCATTACAGTGCCGAGGTTCAAACTCAGGTAAGTCAAGTGCAAAGCAAGCAACCTACTCACTACACTATTTCTCCAGTACCTAATTATAATTTACTTGAGTAAAATTTAATAGTTTCATCAGAAGAAATGCTGGAATTTTTCTTCTACAAAGTTAAAATAAATTAAAAATATTAATAGCAAACAGTAGGTCTCAAGAGGGGGCAGAGCAATAGTACAGCAGGTAGGTTTTGCCTTGCATGCAGCCAACCACAATTCAATCCCTGTCAGATGGTCCACCAAGCCCACCAGGAGTGACCCCTGAGTGCAGAGCCAGAGGGCCTGAGGTCCACCGGGTGTAAACCAAAAAAAAAAAAAAAACAAATAAAAGACAATCTCAAGAATATGAGTCACATACTTTTAAGTAAAATTATTATAAATTAACATCACTAACACAATTTACCCTTATTATTTTGTAAATTTTCTTTCTTTGAAAAGTTACTATTCTCTTCCTTTCAATTCTTTAGTGTATTTTTAAAAGACTTTTCTTCATTATCATTGTTTTTATGCCAAGTTGTCTACTTCTATGTTTTGTTAAAATAGAATATAGTTCACATGAAAAAGTGAACTAGTTTTCATAGTTCACATGAAAAAGACTGACTAGACAATAGAAACTAGAAGAAAAAGAAAATATGGAACCTGAGATACTTTACAAATTTCCCAACAGACTAATATCAATCACATCAACTGTCTTGATGAGATATTCATCTCAAATTACTTAGGCTGTATTCATGTAATAATTTTGAAAATTAGTAGTTTAAGTGTTATTTTTACATACTAGATTATTTAAAAGATCATATTTTGGCCATGAAACAAAAAGAATAACATCAGGGAATGATTATCTGAACCAGGCCAATGTTGCTCAGAAGCTTACATCTTGTGTTCAAGTATTTTGCTTAAGTTTTTCATTAAAATAAACAAATCTCAACCTTGTTAGAAATGGAACTCGTTGTTTACATCTAATCTCCTATCAAATACTTAGGAAAGTAATTTAAACTATTTTTCCAGACAAATATGGAAATAATTAACTATAACATTTACTTCTGTAAATTCGTGAATATGAAGTTTTCAGCCAATACTTTCTATTTGGTTTAGTTTTATGCCAGTAGTGAGTGTGTTGCTTTTCAAATTTTTTTTCTTCCCAAAGGGAAATGCAAACCACATTTCCTCCACAGATCCCAGAGGAAAGGTTTCAACTGGGAAAAATGAAAACAACAAATAAACATTTTTTAAAAGTTCCAGGAGTTCAATCACTTCTAAGAAATAAGATGAGAAAGGTCTTGGGGTAAAATGACTTATGATGTGATAACAGAAATTACAAGCAATGGAGGGTTTAAAATATTAACTAGATATTCAAAATTACTGTCAATTTTTAGTGTTTCAACCCACTCAGTCCCTGGAGAATAGGCAGGAGAGAAGCAGGGTTAGGATTCATGAAAATTAAAGAAAAAGAACGTTTCCGGCTACTTAGATTGTAAGGCCAAGGCTTCCTGCTCTCTTTGATAAACATTGCATTAAAGTGGGTGAAAACTCTCTGATCTTGCTGAAAGTGAACTATGTTGGAAGGCTGAATGTTTAAGTTTCATAAAGTGACATGAAAGTCTGACCAATGGGTATTTTTTTTTCTCACTTGCCTCAGATTGGTGTCTGAGGTTAAGCTGAGAACAACGGTACAAAGTGTCCTATATTCTAAAAATACAAAGGAAGACCCGCCAGAGTTTAGCAACCACTCTACAAGGCATGTCTGGAAATGAAGAGCTATTTCTGTCACTGCCATTCCTTCTGAGATCTGGCACAGGCAAGGATGTTCACTCTAAGTACTAATATCCAACACTGTACTGAAAGTACTAATCATGGCAGTAAAGCACAAAAAAAAAATACAAGGGATTAAAATTAGAAAAGAAGCTATCACTACTTGCAGACAGCATGATGATGTGCATAAAATATTCTAAAGTCTACACACACACACACACACACACACACACTCGCAAAACTTTACAAACAATAAACCTGTATAGGAAGGGTGCAGGCTATATAATCAGTATACAAATGTTTATTGAATATCTAAAAGCAAACAACAAATTAGAAGAGAAAGAAGTATTGGAAATCCCACTAAATTGCATACAAAAAGTCAAGAGTCTAAAAATCAACATAAAATTGAGGTAAATAGCTCATATCAAAAGTATGCCACTAACGGGGGCTGGAGCAATAGCACAGCAGTGTTTGCCTTGCACGCGGCCGACCCAGGTTCTATTCCCAGGATCCCATATGGTCCCCTGAGCACCACCAGGAGTAATTCCTGAGTGCAGAGCCAAGAGTAACCCCTGAGCATTGCCAGGTGTGACCCAAAAAGCAAAGCAAAAAATAAACCGTGTCACTAATAAAAGAAGTAGAAAACATAGGGAGGTGGGAAAAGAGTTCAATGTTCATGGACTGGAAGAATTACCATTGTTCAAATGACTATCTCACCCGAAGCATTTCACAGATTCAATGCAATCTCTATCGAATTTCCAATAGTGCTTGTTAAGGAGATAGAATAAATACTACAAAAATTTATATAGAACCACAAACCCATCCAAGTAGTCAAAGTAATCCTGAGAAAAACAAGATGGGAGGCATCAGCTTGCCCAACTTTATAAACAAAACTATTGTAATCATAATCGTAATCGGCTAGTATTAGAGTAAAAATAGAAACTCAGGCCAATGGGGTAGAATTGAGAGCATACCAATAAACCCCACCAGAGATAAACATTCACAAATACAGTTAATTATAACAAATTTATAAATTAATCAACAGCATAAAATGGAGAGAGGAAAACTTCTTCAACAAATGGTGCTGGAAAAACTGATTAGCTACATGCAAAAAAGGATGAAATTGGACTATTATCTTACACCATGGACAAAAAATCAAAATGTATTAAAGACTTAGAAGTAATTCATAAACTGTAGCACGATAGCACTGTCTTCCCATTGTTCATCAATTTGCTCGAGCAAGCCCAGTAACATCTCCATTGTGAGACTTGTTACTGTGTTTGGCATATCGAATACATCACAGGTAGCTTGCCAGGCTTTGCTGTGCGGCAGGCTGCGGGATGATCTTGGTAGCTTGCAGGGCTCTCTGAGAGGGGCAGAGGAATCGAATCCAGCTCAGCCCTGCTGGCCGCGCGCAGGGCAAACGCCCTACTGCTGTGCTATAGCTCCAGCCCAATTCATAAACTAAATCAAAGAAAACACCAGCAACATACTCCATAAAGTTGACATTTTTTTTTTCTTTTTGGGTCACACCTGGTGATGTTCAGGGGATTAGTCCTGGCTCTGCACTCAAGAATTACTCCTGGCGTTGCTCAGGGAACCATATGGGATGCTGGGAATCGAACCAGGGTCGGTCGCGTGCAAGGCAAACACCCTATCCACTGTACTATAGCTCAAGCCCCAATGTTGACTTTATACATCAACAATTCCATAATGTTGGTGTCTTCGGCCATTCGGCTCCATTGGCAAGGAAAAGGTAAAGGTAAAGGCCCTCCCGTTGATCGTCGATTTGCTCGAGCGGGCCCAGTAACGTCTCCATTGGAGACTTTGTTGTTACTGTGTCTGGCATATCGAATACTCTCGGTAGCTTGCCGGGCTCTCCGAGAGGGGCGGAGGAATCGAACTCGGGTCGGCCATGTTGGCTGCGTGCAAGGCAAACGCCCTACCGCTGTGCTATCGCTCCAGCCCATTGGCAAGGAAAGTAAATGAAAAAAATTAATGGAATTATCATAACTAAAAATTTTCTATCACCAAAACAAAAAGAAATCCTGAGTGGGGAAAAATATTTGCACATTATACATCAGACAAAAGGCTAATATCCAAGATATAAAAAGCACTCACAGAACTCAACAACAAAAACAGGGGTGTTGGAGCGATAGTAGAGCAGGTAGGGCATTTGCCTTGCACCCGTCTGACCCGGGTTCAATTCCCAGCATCCCATATGGTCCCTTGAGTGCATAGCCAGAAATAACCCCTGTGCATCGCCAGGTGTGACCCAAAAAGCAAAAAATACATATATATATATATATATATATATATATATATATGCAAGGCTATTTTCAATAGCCAAGATCTGGAAAGAACTGGTGCTCAATAGAGACTAAGTGGCTAAAGCAGAGAGATAGTACAATGGTTAGGATGCCATCCCAGGTACCACACAGTGCCCTGAGCATCACTGGGTGCAGCCCTAACAGCCCCTGAACACTGCCATGTGTGACACTAAAGTCCAGAAGCACCATAGGGATGATCCAGATAAACCCCCCGCACCACAAAACCTGACTGGCACCATAACCTGAAACCACACCCCACCCCCACCCCCACCCCCAATAAAAGTATGCATGGGGAGATCACATCCATTGGTCTTAAGGCATATCCCTGGCTTTGTTCCTACGGGGTCACTCCTAGTGGTGCTCCAGAGACTACATAAGGTGCTGGGGTTCAAACTAGTGTCAGCCACACACAAGGCAAGTGCCTTAAACTGGGTATACTCTCTGCAGCCCCAGTTGGGCTGTAAGAAAAGATGATGGATTGTCTTTTACTACACATGGATGGAACTGGCAGTGGTCATGCTAAATAAAGTAAGTCAGAAAAATAAAGACAAATAATCTTTTATTTCATTCATACTGGAAGATTGTTTTATTTCACTTATATGTGGATTGTTTCACTCATAAGGTACATAAACATTTCTAAAGATCATAACAAATCTTAATTTTTTTCAGTTAAGGACAACAAAAGCATAAGATTCCTATACATTATATAATATTTTTATATATCATATGTAATGATATTAGGAGCGATAGCACAGCAGGGAGGGCATTTGCCTTGAAGGCAGCCAACTCAGGTTCGATTCCCAGCACCCCATATGGTTCCCCGAGCACCACCAGGAGTAATTCCTGAGTGCATGAGCCAGGAATAACCCCTGTGCATCGCCGGGTATGACCCGAAAAGAAAAAAAAAAAAGAAAAGAAAAAGAAAATTGGGGTTGGAGAGATAGTACTGTGGGTAGGACATTTGTCTTCCATGTGGCCACCCCAGTTTCCATTCCCGGCACCCCATATGGTCCATCAAGCCTGCCAGGAGTGATTCCTGAGTGCAGAGCCAAGAGTAACCCCTGAGCACTGCCAGCTGTAGCCCAAAAACAAAAACAAAAAAATAAGGTTGGAACTTCATTTGCATTTGATAAATTTCTCCCTCTTTGCCCTCCTCATCCCTTATGCTTGCATAAGGTGTAAGGAATATTATACACAGAAATGCTGCTTTCTGAATTTTTTAGCAGTTATATCTAGAAAGATATAACTTACGACTATCATCCATTTTATCATTATATATTTAATTTTATAAGACATATATGCACTATAATGGTTTGTCTGAACTCTATCCATATAAGTCTTCTACTTCATTCCTTCTGTGTTTTGCCCTGCTCTGACTGTGGTTATTTTAATTCCATAGAAACTGATTTCTTTTTTTTTTTAAACAATTTATTTATTTATTGAATCACTGTGGGAAAAGTTACAAAGCTTTCAGGTTTAGGTATCAGTCATGCAAATATCAAACACCTTTCCCTTTACCAATACTTATTTTTTACTACGAAGAACCCCAATAAAACCCCACCCCCACCCCTCCCAATGCCTGCGAGGCAGATGAATTCTAGTTGACACTCTATCTGCTTTGATTAGATTCATTGAGAAACTGATTTCTTGACTAGCTCTTTGGTGACCTCTTGTTTCCTAAAGTGCTCCCAGCACTGCTACCTCAAGGATCAGATTTTTAGCTCTGAAAGGTCAGTACCCCATGACTGCACAGTCTCCAGAACAATGACCAGCCACCTGCCTCCTTCCATCACCCGACTCTTGAATCTGTATTGAAACAAACTGATTTAAACTAAATTCATGCCCTGGGTCTTGAAACTGGTTTGGAAGAGGAATAATGGCCCTTTCCTTGTATTCATCCTTGTCCTTGAGGTCATTTTTTTGTTTTTATTTTTAAATAGTTTTCTTTTTTAATATAACTACATCTGGAGGCTCTTGGGCCTTGCTGTGCTGAAGCAAATGCAAGGGAGAGCAATCCTGTTCCAGGAATGAAACATAGGATTCACAAATCACACTCAACATGTCTGAGTTCCACCACTGGAGCCATCTCCTCCACCCTCTGAGACCATTTTCATAGCTACTTTGGGAACCACACATACGTATGGTATCCCTTGAGTAATAAACTGATTTCTCTAAAGTTACAATTTTAATACCTTATTTTACTCTGAGTCTAGTGTTATCCCTCACTTTAAAAGAATGTTAAACTCATTTGCAGGATATAAAGAAACATCATAGAAGAATAACACCTAAAGACAATAGAGTCAAAGGGCAGGAGTCCAGGTCCTTAGTAGGAAGCTTGCCCCGGGGTGTGGAGGATAGGACAAAGGGACAACTATGACAAAAATAGGGGGAAGACTTCAATTTGAATGAGAACTGGGTTCTAAAAAGAGGTAAAGTGAGATGCATGATATACTTTCAGTAACAGTATTGCAAGCCACAGTGTCTTAAAGGAAAAAGGGAAAAGGGAAAGGGTCCCCTGGAGGCAGGTTGGGTTGAGGGAGGGAAACTGAGGTCATAGGAGGAGGGGACACTGATGAAGAGAGTGTAGTAGATTATTGTATGCTTGGAACTCAGTCATGAATAACTGAATAACTTTGTAACTTGGTGCCATAGTGATTCAATCATTGTTTTCAAGAGCTGATATGTTCCACCAATTCAACTTTAAAATAAGTATAGAACAATTTAGCATATACCAATTACAATATTAGGTGTTGAGAAAAGCAAACGAACAGGTTAGCAAGGGAGACAGATGGCTATACTCCATGCTAAGTGCCAAGACAGAAAAGTAAAGGATGCTTTTGGAGAGTACAAAAGTGGACTCTAATCCCTAATTGAGTGCCAAGAAATGTTCCTTGAAGCATTAAACTGGGATCTAATTGATAAATAGTAGGAGAAGAGAAAGACAAAGATGATATTTTAAATAAAGGAAAAGGGTTTAATGCAAAATTCCATAGGCTCAAAAGTGCAGTGTGTTATTGAGAAATTGAAATAAATTCAGAATATCTGAGACGTAAAATGCTAAGGGGAAACATCACAACAGATCATGTCCAAATACTTTTTCTACCCTATATTATTTCTGAAATCCAAATCACCAAGCCAATATGCTCCTAATACTGGGGAATTAGGGCAATCCCTTACCCCGCACATACCAAATATATAGTCCTCTGAGCCCTGCCAGAAGTGATCCCTGAGCACTGCTGCGTGTAGCTCCCCCAAATAAAACTAATTAATTAATAACTACCCAGATATATTTCCCATTTTGTATGTTCTAATCTTACTATTGCTTCCTCCATAACTGCCTTATTTGCATTCATAAATATGAGGCTCTATCATGTTTCAGGCTTCTTGACAGACACCAAGTGGAAAGATCGCATTGAATATTACCCAAGACCACCCAGGGAGTTGGAGGAGCTGCCTTGCAGGTCAGAGGTCACAGGTTTGAATGTGAACACAACGTGAGCACACAGGCACCACAAGCATTATTTCAGACCTTACAAAGTGCCCAGCTCACTAGTCAGTTCATTGACTAAGACAGAATCTCAATAAGTTATAAAATATTATAATTATGTTATAATTATAATATATTTTGGACATATGAATACTGTGCCAGCAAAATTTTTTAAAAAGACATTTAAAATTGGTTTGATGCTTCTTGATGCTTGTTATCACAATAGAAAAAATTCTTTAGCAAAACCTAAAGTGATTGGTCTGGAGTGATAGCACAGCAAGTAGGGCACTTGCCTTGCAAGTGGTCAACCAGGGATCGATCCCTAGCACCCATATAATCCCCAGAGCACCCCCAGGAGCAATTCCTGCGTGTAGAGCTAGGAGTAACCCCTGAGCATCGCCAGGTGGGGCCAAGAAAAAAAATACCACCTAAAGTGATCAAATGATGACAGAAACACATATGGGGGGAAGACAGATCTGACCTGCATATGGCCTCTTGCCTCCAAGATCGATGATGCTGCTTTCCTCTCCTTGGTCCAGGAACTGGGTTTCCTTCTCCTGTAGAAGCTGTGCCATCCTGACATGTTGCTGTTTGACTCGGGTCTCGAGCGTGTGCACTTGGGCTCTGAGCCGCTCCAGCTCCTGGAGACAGTCCTCAAGGGCCTGCAAAATAACGCCCAGCTCTTCTCACAGGGTGTGTGGTCCCAATAAACCGAATGCATTAATGGATGGATGGTGTTCCCCGCCCTCCTTCCGTTACTCTACCCAGAAAGCTGTTTGCGAGTTCAAATACTGTTTGTTATCTGAAGCGTAAGAAAGTACGGCATGGTGAGAGAGAGATAAGCAGGAAAGATGCTTGTCTTGCACACAGCCAACCTGGCTCAATGTTTGGTGATGTATACAGTCCCCTGATCCCTGCCAGGGTCGCCGAACTCGAAGCCAGGAGTAAGCCCTGAGCAGAGCTGAGTGTAGCCAAAAAGAGAGAAGGGAAGGAAGGGAGGAAGGGAGGAAGGGAGGAAGGGAGTAAGGAAGGAAGGAAGGAAGGAAGGAAGGAAGGAAGGAAGGAAGGAAGGAAGGAAGGAAGGAAGGAAGGGAAGGAGGGAGGAAGGGAGGAAGGGAGGGAGGGAGGAAGGGAAGGAGGGAGGGAGGAAGGGAGGAAGGGAGGAAGGAAGGAAGGAAGGGAGGGAGGGAGGAAGGAAGGGAGGAAGGGAGGAAGGAAGGGAGGAAGGGAGGGAGGGAGGGAAGGAGGGAGGGAGGAAGGGAGGGAGGAAGGGAGGAAGGGAGGAAGGAAGGGAGGGAGGGAGGGAGAGGGGAGGGAGGAAGGGTAGAGAAAAGAAGGCATGGCTATGTTAAATGTCCAAAACTAAAAATAATAATAATAATAATAATAATAATAATAATAATCCAGCCTAATTGAATGACTTTTTGGGCATCAACCTGTTTTCAAACATAATCAAATGCTTTTAATCTGATAATACATGATCCACCCTCGATTGCCTCGAGCAGGCCCCAGTAACGTCTCCTTCATCCTAGCCCTGAGATTATATTCAAGGCTCTTTAGGAGAATGAGACCCATCATTGTTACTGGTATTTGGCATATTGGGTACGCCACAGGGAGTTTGCCAGACTCTGCCATGTGGGCAGGCTACATTCGGTAGCCTGCCAGTTTGTCCAAAGTAGGAATGAGATAATAAGATGTCATAATAAGATGATTCACCCTATGAGAGATATTAGCTTGCATTTTCATAACCCTATAGTCGCAATGCTTGAAACTACTGAGTCATTTTAACTTTTGATATATTTATTGTTTTTCTCCAAATTACCTGAGAAAGGGATAGGAGACACCTGAGTTCCACTTAAGTCATTGATTTAAGCCTTTGAAATAGTTACATGGCCTGGGGCCAGTACAGTGGAGAGGGTGCTAGCCTTGAACTGAGCCTAGCCAGCTTCTACCACACTCCACATATGGTCCTTTACACCCTGCCAGGAGCAATTCTCGGAGAGCCGAATTGGGTCTGGACCCCAAACAAACAAAAAAGTCTAATGGTCTATAAAAGAGTTTACCACCACCTTTTTATTCCTTTTTCCTTCCATACTTGGATCACACCTAGCAGAGCTTCTTCCTAACTCTCCTCAGAGGTCGCTACTGGCATCACTCAGCATACTACATGCAGTGCCAGGGATCAAATCAGGGTCAGGTCATTCAAGGCAAACACCTTCCCTGCTAGACTATCTCTGCCCACCCATATCAGCTCCTTTCTATGAGCTTTCAGAGCTGAGGGAGGGATGGGGTGTGGCTCAGTGATGAATCTTAGCCCTGGATTCAGTCCTTGATACCCTGTCCCCGGGCTGGTCTCAGACCGAACAGGACTCTCCAAAGATAAAACAAATGTGGATGGAGAATACTACTGAGAACTACTTTGGCCAACAGTTTGCTATAATATTAAATAAGAGTATTGAACAAAAGGGGGGGGCAAAAGACCCATTTTGCCATTTTGTCACTTTGGCATCTCTATTTGTGGCTGATGTTATGATCTCTTGTGGTGAGTATAAATGTTAACTTCTGAGAAATTAGGAAATGTGATGTGTAACTGCTTTACAGTATCTCTGTGTGTTATTTCCTAACTGTTTTTTTTTTATGATATCTCATGCAGTTCTCATCTTATGTTTGCTCCGCTTCCTCTCCCTAGATTTGTACTATCTTGAGTTTCATAAATTTGAAGACCTACTGTCTGCTAGGCACTCTGGTAGGCAGAATCACAATTACATATTTGATTTGGGCAAAGAAAAGAGGTACACAGGAAGTATAACACCGATACAGAAATTCAGCCTTAAAACTGAAACTCTTACAGCAGGAAGAGAAGAAATGGTGGCAGAAGTTCCTTCCTTTTTCTCCCATCTCGGGGAGACAAATCTGAATCTCGGGACTGTTCTCTGTTTTGGGATTCTTTTCCTTGTTTGTTGTTGGGCCATAAGCAGCCAGGACTTCTCTTGGCTCAGTGCTCAGAATTTGTTGCTCAGAATTCAGGGGTAGAATATGCAGTGCCAGGGATTTAACCGAGCATGCAAACCAGTCTGTTGAGCTGTAGCTCTGGCCCTTTGTGCTTAGGGCCAGAAAGATTGTACAGGAAATACAGGGCTTGCCTTGCAGGCAGCTGACCCAGGTTGGATCTCTGGCCCACACATGGTCCCCAGCACAGTTAGGTGCTGAACACAGAATTAGTTATAGCTCCTGAGCACCACCTGGTGTGGCCCCCAAATCCTAACCCCCATGACCCAAAGAAGAGTAACAGCTTAACACCCACCCCCAAGTCACACCAGTCTGAAAAAATCAAAAGCAAGTACACTCGTGTATGGTGTCTGGAATTCTGTCTCGCTTTCCAGTTGCGGTATTGGACTTAATTGTTGATATTATAAGCACAATGAACTATGTAATTTTAAATAACTGAATGGGTGATAAGGTTTTAGAAAGCTTATTTAAAGCTGACATGTCTCTCAAAACTTTGAATGTCGCCTTCCCCAGATGAAATCCCAGTGACCATGGGCTTCTACAAGCATGACTCTGGCATGCAGGTACCAGGACTTTTTCCTGAACTGTAACAAGGCCGCCCCGGCTCCCAGGCAACCTCTGATTCTGGAAGTCATGCCCACAGTCCGCCCCCAGCGCTATCTTACAGCACACAGCAGTGAAGAAAAAAACCGGCTGGAGGGCCCCACAGCTACCAGAGAATGCTTTGGGCCTTGGCCAGAGCCAATATCGCCGGGAGGTCCCAGATGGGGTAGGTGCTGTCTCCCCGCCTTCCCCAGATGGAATCCCAGTGACCATGAGTTTCTACAAGCATGGCTCTGGCATGCGGGTACCAGGACTTTTCCCGAACCACACGGCTGCTTATGCAGCCGCGTGACATTTCCTGATATGCAAAGTGATCAATGGATAGCAAATGATATAGCATTTTCCCCTGAAAATCAGGCTTTAATGATGATAGGAAAATCTGAGCAAAAGAGAATGCCTAACCGAAACGCATCTAGATTTTGTATTTAACTATGATGCTATGCCGCCCTGGGAGGGGAAAGGTGTCTGTCCCTCGCCTGTCCCCCTTTGAGGTGGCGGCATGGTGGCCTACATCTTTTAGAGCCTAATGAACAGCCAGGTATGAGACTGCATAGATGAGGCATGTTGTGCTTGATGGCATGTGGGTGGAATTGGCCCTGCTCCTCGCCATGAAAATGCTCCGGGTTGCCACCCTCAAATGCCTCCTCTGGCTTCTGACCAACCATGATCCCAAAGGCACACATACCAATCTTGGAACCCAGGGGCTCTGGCAGTAATCCCTCAGGGCTTATTACTAAAATATCAGAAATCCAAATTCACGTGTCCGCCGTTGTGGCCACACAACATCATATGCTCTTCATAATCAGCAATAGAAAACAAATTTTCTAATTACACCTTTGTGTACTTTGTGGCAGGTCTGAATGTTGGGGGGAAAATTCCAAATAACAACGTTGGGTCTTTTGTTGTAATATTGAATGTGATCAATGTAGAGAGAGAGATAGAGTAAAGTGAAAATCTGCCACACAGGCAGGGGGTGGGTGGGGGGGGGGGTATACTGGGGTTCTTGGTGGTGGAAAATGTGCACTGGTGAAGGGACAGGTATTTGGTCATTGTATGACCGACAGAGACTAAACTGAAAGGTTTTGTGACTGTCTCATGGTGATTCAATAAATTAAAAAAATAATTATAAAAAAATATGTAAGTCTAAAAAAAACATTGAATGTACGAGTATTTCTTGCATTTTATGCATAAGTGGAGAAAGACATATATTCATTAAATTGCTCATAAGTTTTCAGTTTCTCTCAGACTAGTGGTAAGCAATATTGGAAAACCCTCAGTGAATTTTAATACTAACAATAGCTTTAAATTCCTGGGACATGGATGTGGTTCAATGTTAGAGCACATGCTTTGATGTGAGACCATTGCTCTGGGCCCTGACATCCTTCCCCAGTTTCTCAATAGTGCACAACTACCCAAATAATTACTTTCACTGGGGAGATGGCATACTTTTATCTTTGTGCTCAGGAGTCACGCTTTAGGGGAACGTATACAGTGCTGGGTATTGAACTAGGGTTTGCTGCATTTAAGTCAACTGCATTAAGCCCTGCACTATCTCTCCAGCCACAAACACTGTAATTTAAAAGGTATTTACCACAACACCCAAAAGGAGAGAGAGAACACAGGGGATTGCCCTGCCACAGAGACAGGGGGGGGATGGGGGGATGGGGGTGGGGGGATATTATCCATGGTGGTGGAAAATGGGCACTGGTGGAGGGATGGGTATCTGATCATTGTATAATCGAAACCCAAGCACAAAAAATTGTAAATCTACAACTGTACCTCATGGTGTTTCACTAATAAAAATTAAAAAACTAGAAAAAAAAGGTATTTACTTGTTTTCTGTGAAAACTGTCACTTAAAAAATTAATCTAGGGGCTGGAGCAATAGCACAGCGGGTAGGGCATTTGCCTTGCACGCAGCTGACCTGGGTTCGATTCTCAGCATCCCATATGGCCCCCACAGCACCGCCAGGAGTAATTCCTGAGTGCAAAGCCAGGAGTAACCCCTGTGCATCTCCAGGTGTGACCCAAAAAGAAAAGAAAAATTTAATCTAAAGTGCTTGGTTAGTGCCCATTACATGCTAGGTGCTTCCACAAAGTTTTCACTTTTCCCCCTTAAGATTTTTCAATGAATGTTGTGGATTTTGTGCAAAGTAAAGGAAAACTTCTTAGTCTGGGATGTAGCTCATGACATGTCTTTACTGAACAAGGCTCTGGATTCATCCTCAGGACCTGACACCACCCCACAACAAAAACAAAATGAAAACAAAATTCAGGTCAGAGTAGGAATTACTAGTGGAAGAAGACACTTACCCAACTCATCCCGCTGGTTACTAGGATAGTAGTAACCAGAATAAAACTGAACAGCTGCACCACTGTTGCCATTGAACAAACTGCAAGGAAAAAGAATTTCATAAGCTTAACACATTAAATTTTTTATGAGTACAGAGTTGAGTTTAGACTGAAGTTGCTTCAGGAGTTGCAGTTCCACGCCAACTTTAATCTGAGTGTTAAGATATTCTCCTTGGGTCCAGAGACAGCCTAAAGGGCTAGAGTGCATGCTTTGAACATGGGAGTGACCCTTGGAAAGGAAGGTTGGAGAGTCAGGGGAAATCTACTCCATTGAAAATATCTCCAGTCAAAACAGAAAACGGATGGAGGTGGGAGACAGCCTCAGATCAAAGGAAACCCCCCGTGAGGCAACATTCCCTCTCTGCCCCCTCACCTAAATTCCGATCAAGAAGGACAGCAGGAATACCCACATGGCTGAGACTAGGGAAAGTCAAGGGGACAGGGAGTTGCTGGGGTACAGTCCTAGGGAGGCCCAGCCACAGGTCACAAAGCAGCAAGTCCCAGTGAAGGGACACAGGTGACATGATTCCAGCGGCAGATTTCAGACCAGGAAAGTGTACATTGGACAGAGAACAGCCTAGGGGACAACATAGCCATTGTACACTTGAGGCAAAGACAGGCTTTAGGATGGCATGCATGGGACCCGGCATAGATGGACAGGATGAGTGACATTGTTGATGGGTAAAGGAGAGGCCTGGACATTGGGGATGGAACTGGACCCATGTTCTTGAACTGTGCAATTAACTTTAACTTCTAAGCATCTGGGTTTGTAAGCAAATATCTCATACTATTCTCAAGAACCCATGAGTTCAGAAATAAGTCCACTTCGTTGTTAACAGAAGTTCCTGGTTTGTGCTCCATTGATGTAAGCTCATCTCTCATCCCCAAGCATTAATGGATGCACTTCCCCCCATGAAAGATAATCTTTCTTTCTTTCTTTCTTTCTTTCTTTCTTTCTTTCTTTCTTTCTTTCTTTCTGGCACAACTAGTGGTGCTCCAGATTTATTCCTGACTCTGTGCTCAGGAATCACTCCTAACCATTTGGGGAACCAATGTGGTGAAAGGGATAAAACCAGAGTCAGCTCATGCAAGACAAATTCCCTACCCCTGTACTATCTCTCCAGCCCCCCACAAAAGAAATTCTTCTGATTTTCTAGGCCTCTTCACATGGAATAAGGGGTAGACAGTCTCCTAGGTGTCCTTCTTTAGTGAACATGACTCACTTCTGAATGACTGTGGCTTACATAGAATATTTTTTAACAAATTTTTTATTGCGCAAAGGTGAATTCTCCCCAAAACAACATACAGGGGCACAGGGGCACAAAGGCTCTGGTTCATCTGGAAGGCAAGGTGGAGAAGATGGGGACATTCAGGCTGGCTGACAGTAAGACCCAAGGTCAAAGGAAGTCAGGGGCTGGAGTGCAGGCACGATGGAGGGCCAGGATGGACATTGTTCAATAGTGGGAGAAGCAAGGCCTGGTAACCACTTTCACCTGCTCCAAAAGCCTGCCCCCACACCTCCCACCTCTTTCCCTGCTGAAATACCATGGGATTGGCTCTCAGGAGACACCCAATATGAAAGATCTTGAGAGTCTGACATTGGGGGATTCTCCCATTAAGAGCCTGTCCCTGCCTCCTCACCCTTCAGAGAAATCTACCATTAGCTCATCTCTTAGCTACACAAAAAAGATATTATAACATTTGCATCTTTCTTTCAAGAGAGGCTTTCTTTCTGAAGAGAGCACATTTCCAATTCCTTTCTACCTAACGGTCCTAATGTGAGAAACATTCTCACACCAAATGTTTTATCTTAGAACACGGAGTAGGAAGCCATGATTAGTTCATTTACCACAAAAGTGTATAATTTACCTCTAATGACTTCCCTTTTATTCAACCAAATAGCCAAAAGGTATAGGCAAATTACAAAGCTAAATGAACCAAGAAATAAGATAAGTACAAGAATACCTATTATAGAAAACACATTACATAATAGCTCGAATAAGCATCTGTGCAACCATTTCCCCCAACCCCAGCTAGTCATTTGTGTACACACTAATGTAATAAACTCCTCAGCAACATTGGAGAACACTAGTATTTCACCATGTTCATTATCTTAGTAACTATTTTTCTTTAAGATTCAAGCTTGCGTTGAATACCTGCTTTACACCAAGTGTACACCTAACACCTAACAGCTTTTGCTTTTGTTGAGTTTTGTTCCTGTTGATCTATCCAGAGGTGATAAGGCGATGTTGCAGTCTCTGACTAATATTGTATTGCTAGCAATGTTCTCTTTAAAATCTGTTAGCAGTTGTTTTAAATATTTAGCTGTTCCCTCATTAGGTGTGTATACATTTAAGAGTGATTTCTTCCTGTTGTACATATCCCTTGATAAATAGCAAATGGCCTTCGCTGTCCCTTCTAATCTTTTTCAACCTGAAATTTAATGTTTGTCAGATACTAGTATGGCCACCCCAGCTTTTTTGAGGGAGCTGTTTGCTTGCAGGATTGTTTTCCATCCTTTAACTTTGGGCTGGAGCGATAGCACAGCGGTAGGGCATTTGCCTTGCATGCAGCCAACATGGTCGACCCGAGTTCGATTTCTCTGCCCCTCTCGGAGAGCCCGGCAAGCTACCGAGAGTATCTCGCCCGCATGGCAGAGCCTGGCAAGCTCCCCGTGACGTATTCGATATGCCAAACACAGTAACAACAAAGTCTCCAATGGAAACGTTACTGGGCCCGCTCAAGCAAATCGACGAACAACAGGAGGGCCTTTACCTTTTTACTTTTTAACTTTGAGCCTGTGTTTGCTCTGACTGTTCAGATGAGTTTCTTGTAGGGAGCAGAATGTTGGGTTCTGTCTCTGAATCCATTTTGTCACTCTGTGTCTCTTAATTGCTGAATTTAGACCATTGACATTGAGAGAGATTATTGTTATGGGATTTTGTGTCATCTTTCTGTAAGGGTTTGTTGTGCTTGTAGGGTTTGTCTTGTTTTTGTTTTTTTTTTTGTTTTTTTTTTTGTTTTGTTTTGTTTTTTTTTTTGCTTTTGGGTCACACCCGGCGATGCACAACAATTATTCCTGGCTCTGCACTCAGGACTTACTCCTGGCGGTGCTCGGGGGACCATATAGGATGCCGGGAATCGAACCCAGGTCGGCCGCGTGCAAGGCAAATGCCCTACCCTCTGTGCTATCTCTCCAGAGCCAGGTTTGTCTTGTCTTACAACAGCCCCTTTAGCCCTTCTTTTAGGTTTGGTTTTGAGTCTATGAAGTTCCTGAGCTGCTGTTTATCCACAAAATAGTGTAACATTCCTTCGAGTTTGAGTGAGAGTTTAGCCGGATAGAGTATTCTTGGTGAAGTATTCTTGTTGATCTATCCAGAGGTGATAAGGCGATGTTGCAGTCTCTGACTAATATTGTATTGCTAGCAATGTTCTCTTTAAAATCTGTTAGCAGTTTTTTTAAATACTGAGTTTTTTCACTATATCCCACCATTGGTTTCGGGCTTGGAGGGTTTCTTCTGGTAAATCTGCTCTAAATCTAAGGGGTGCTCCTTTGTATGTGATTTCCTTCTTTGACCTTGCTGCTTGCAGCATTGTGTCTCTATTCGCGGCATCCATCATTCTAACTATGACATTCTTGGAGTGTTTTTATTAGGGTGTCTTTTAGCTGGTACCCTTTGGGCTTCTGGAATCTAAATGGCTGCATTGTCCAGCTCTCGGAACTTTTCAGCAACAATTTGTTTAACCGTGACTTTTTCACTGGGATTGTTTCCCTGAGCTTCTGGTACTCCAGTGATTCTAATGTTGTTCCTCTTGGAATCATCTCCTAGGACTCTGATTCGCTCTAGAGCTATTTTGAGGTCTCTTGCCATTGTTTGTTGTTGCCTGTTGGCTTTGTGCAGCTGATCTTCCAGCTCTCTGATTCTGTCTTCAGCTGTGGCCATTCTACTGCTAACGGCACAGACTGAGTTTTTTATTTCATCTACCGAATCTTTTATTCGTGATATTTCTGTGTGTAGCTTTCCAATTTCTTCTCTCATTTCTTCCCGTATCTTCTCGATTGTTTCTTTCAGGTCCTCCTTTAATTTACTGGATATCTGTCTTACTGTTTCATTGAGTTCATTGAACATCTTCATTACTTGATATCTGAATTCTTTCTCAGAGAGGTCCCTTAGATGTGTAGCACCTACTGAGGCTTCTGGACTCTTTTTATCATCCTCCCCTCTTGGTGGGGTTTTGCGTTGTTTCTTCATGTTGGTGTGGAGGTATGGAGACTGAGATGTTACATGAGATTGCTGGGTATGAGTAAATTACCTGCAGCCACGTGAGCGTTGTCTGGCCCAAAATTAGACCATGCCCACTTCTACAGAAGGCACGCCCACTTCTGAAGGGGCCATGCCCCCTACAGTACCTGGTGTGTGCGGGGGTACAACTTAGGGGAGGAAGAAGACCGGGCACAGCGTTGGGGACGAACAGGAAGAGTCAGCTTTTGTCTTTTTAAACAGTGTATAACAGCTTTTTTCTGTAGCTTATATTAAATATAGTTCATATAAATGTCAACTATAAATTTATATTCAATATAAATATGTCTATGCATATATAATATAAAGAATATTCTATTTTAAATTATAACATAAATTTAAATATATTTAGTATTTAACTTGTTAAAATATACAGAAAATCAAATTTCATTGTGGGCTACAATATTGGGGAATATGTTTGGGTTTTAAGAAACTTGCTTTAAAATTCTAGTCTTGGGCCAAAGAGATAGTACAGGGTTACATATCACTGACATATCACTCACCCATTTCCAATTCCTGTTAAAGCATGGTCACAGAGCTAGTAGTTTCCTTCCCCCAACTAGTCTTTATGGGACAGAGAGATTGCTCATCAGGCTCTGTGCATGCAACGCATGTAAGAAACTCAGTTTGATCCCTTTGCATTGCCCTGGGCACTGAGGGGGTGAATAAACCCAGGGTTTACTGGGCTTATTACTGGGTCAATAAACCCAGGTAGACCCTGAACACCAACTGGGTATGGCCCACGCAAAAATAAGAAGAAGAGAAAAAGTCTAGTCATCATTCATAATAATAAAGCATTATAACTCTGAAATCTGGCTTCTGATAACATTATATCAGACATTTAGTTCCTCACTATGCAGCGAAGTAGCATTTGTTCCTTTCTAGATTTGTTATGTTCTTTTGCAATGTTTTTGCTTTGGGATTTTCAAAACTGAATTATTATAAAATCAAAATAGTTTGTAATCAGGCCAGAGAGGTCGATAGCCGGAACACCCAGAGTGCGTACTTCACACGCAGCAAGGCCCAGGTTGAATCCCAGCATCAGCACCACTTGGTGGCCTGAGCACCAGCAGGGGTGACCTCTGGCACAGAGCTAGGAGCAAGTACCACCCCATCTCCCAGCACTGCCAGGTGTAACTCAAAATTTAAAAAAATAAGTAAATAAAATAGTTTGCAATCAACCGTTTTGTGTTATACTAAATATATTCTTTGAAATAAACTATTCTAAAGGCTATAAAGTGTAACGTCAAATGCAGTAAAAACTTTCTGATTAAAGTTGATTAAATTTAAAAGTAAAAAGTTTTAAGTTTGGAATTGCAAAGTTACATAGTTGATCTGTAGCATTTAAAAACACAATTACAGCTCTCTGGAAAGAAAGATGGCAGCCGCACAGGAGCCTTGTGGACAGCAGGTATGAGCCGGGGGAGTGGGGGCGACGAAAACCTCATGGGAAGGGGGTCGTTCCAGCCCGTCCTTCACGCTCTACCGAGGTCACCAGTTGCCCCCCACGAGCGGCTCTCCAGCACGGCCACGACTCCAGAGCACAGAAACCAATCTCTTAATTATCTGACTTTTAGCAGAAATACTTCCGGGGTTAATAAGTAAAATAGCAGAAATCCATTGCGGCTGCACGACAACATTTAATTCTTGAACCCAGCTGTAGAAAGCAAATCATTTCACAACGCTTTTTCAGCATGTCTGATTTGGGGGGCGGGGGGGTGGTCGTAAACTCTAAATAATAGTGGTGCATCTTTTATTGAAACGATGAATCTAATCAAAGCAGATAGAGTGTTAACTAGAATTCATCTGCCTCACAGGGACTGGGAGGGGTGGGGGGTGGGGTTTTATTGGGGTTCTTCGTGGTAAAAAATAAGTATTGGTAAAGGGAAATGTCTTTGATAGTTGCATGACTGAGACCTAAACCTGAAAGCTTTGTAGCTTTTCCCACAGTGATTCAATAAATAAATTATAAAAAATAAATAAATAAATAAAAACACAATCACAGGGCCGGAGAGAACACTCAATGGGCTGGAGCACATGCTTTGGCTGCAAGATGTCCAGGTTTGTTCCCCGGGGAGTGAGCACTAGACCAGGGATAGATCCTGGGCTCTACTCCTCTCAAAAAGCAATAAAAGGTAAAGGTAAAGGCCCTCCCGTTGATCGTCGATTTGCTCGAGCGGGTCCAGTAACGTCTCCAACTCAAAAAGCAATACAATTTAAAAATAAATAAATTTAAAAAATAGCTTCAAAGCAAAAGTATATTAGTAGCTTGCATTTTTTTTTTCAAAAGAAAGGTATTATTTAAGGCGGGAGTGGCTAGGCAAATGCCTTGCACATGGCTAAACTAGCACTGCATAAGAACCCTTAAGGAACACCAGGAGTGCTTCCTGAGCACAGAACTAGGAGTAAGCTCTCAGCATAGCTGAGTATGCCCCCCAAACAAACAAACAAATAAATAATCAAAAGCTATGATTTATATGAAAGGATGCAGTAGTGCTGTCCACTGTCTTCCTGTTGTTCATTGATTTGCTCGAGCGAGCACCAGTAACGTCTCCACTGTGAAACTTGTTGTTACTGTTTTGGGCATATTGAATATGACACAGGGTGCTTGTCAGGCTCTGCTGTGTGGGTGGGATACTCTCGATAGCTTGCCGGATTCTCTAAGAGGAACAGAGGAATCAAACCCGGGTCTGCCGCGTGCAAGGCAAACGCCCTACCTGCTGCGCTATCGCTCCAGCCTGAAAGGAGGCAGTATGAAAGCAATTAGAAAGGGAAAAAGTTATTGATTGGAAATATATTTTATCCAGTAGGCGGGGGTCACACCTACCACCTGGTCCCCTGGCGCCGTGTAATCCCATCAACGGCCAAGACTCAGAGACTATAAAATCCAGCTCCCGGAACGGCGCGGCCACATTTGCGGCCGCGCGACATCTTATCAGGACATCTTTTATGACATCTTATCATCTCATTCCTACTTTGGACAAACTTGCAGGCTATCGAATGTAGCCTGCCCACAGGGCAGAGTCTGGCAAACTCCCCGTGGTTTACCAAATATGCCAAATACCAGTAACAATGATGGGTCTCATTCTCCTAAAGAGCCTTGAATATAGTCTCAGGGTTAGGATGAAAGAGACGTTACTGGGGCCTGCTCGAGGCAATCGACGAATAACAGGATGATGAAATGAAAAAAAAATATTTTATCAGTTAACATGCATAAGTAGATTACACCCTTACCTCAACAACTAGTTATAAAATTTTCTCTAAGCACAGAATTTTCCTTTAGGTTGCTTTCTTCCAAAAAAAATTTTTTAATAGCATATAATGGTGTTTTTGTTGTTTATCTCAATAATTTATGTATTCAATGGCAAGTCTTTAAAAGATCATACAAGATCTGATCTCCAGAGACAGAAATAAAGGGGACATTTTTTACTTTCCGGTCAAATTATAACATGGTCCATTTTATATACTGAAAATGTAAATCTTATTGTTTGCACAAAATTCCCATCCAATTTATTAAAACTGTACTGGGAAGGGAAAGGAAGTATAATTCTAAAATCTTGTTTTTTCAGACTGCAGAAACACTCTATCACCAGTCAATCAAATCTCTCTCTGTCTCTGTCTCTGTCTCTGACTCTCTCTCTCTCTCTCTCTCTCTCTCTCTCTCTCTTTTTCTCTCTCTCACACACACACAGAATTATTTTTGAATTATGGCTAATAACACACTATAAATAACTTAACTGTACATTCTTATTATTATATCAAAAGACATTAAATACCTTTGTTATAGTCAGAAAAGAAACAGAGACAGCTCAGGTCAGCTCCAGTCACTCTACTCCTCCAATTCTCTAAGTGCATTCAGAATTATAATTGTTTCTCCATTATTTGATTAGAAATTAGGAAAATATTGGTTTTGGCTTTGACTCAGAAACATGTATGAGGAAATCAGTTTAACTGGAAGGGAAACTGAAAGTAGAGATCCCAACTCTTGGACTGTTCTCTTATTTTTCTGTTTGTGTAAATTTTTAAGAAAAATACAGTAATAAGCTGGAGAGATAGTTCAGCTGGTAGGGCATTTGCCTTGCATGCCAGTCAATCCAAGTTCGATCCCCAGCACCCTATGTGGTCCCCCCAAGTTCTCCAGGAGTGATCCCTGAGCACAAAGCCAGGAATAAACTCTGATCACTGCTGGGTGTGGCCCAAGAAGAAAAAAAACAAAAAAACCATACTTTTATAAAGACTTATATCTAATTTTTGAACCACTTATTGTTGCTCTTTCAGAGTTGTTTGTTTGTTTCAGTACTTCAGTGGACTTTGGTATTGCTCATTGAAGATTAACTCAAACTGAAGTTCAACTGAAGTTTTAGGTTATATATTTAAAGGTAATAAAAATGTATCTATTGGGAGGGATGGGGGTGGGAGGGATATTATCCAGGGTGGTGGAAAATGGGCACTGGTGGAGGGATGGGTATTTGATCATTGTATAATCGAAACCCAAGCACAAGAAATTGTAAATCTACAACTCTACCTCATGGTGTTTCACTAAAAATAAAAAATAAATTTAAAAAAGTATCCATAAAAATACGAATTAAAATGTCATTGCAAGTAGAATAGGCCAAAATTTAGGGGTTTTTGTAAGGGTACATTTTTATAGTTGCCAAAATGAATGTTCAGTTTATTTGTTCTTTTAGAAAAGTGAATGTATCCCCTGATGCAAAATTAAGAAATTTATCTGTAAGCATGCACCACTAAGTTAGTTGTTTCTTTTGTTTAAAACCCAGAAGATTTTCCAATGAGTAATAGGTGATTTGTTGTGGTGCAATCATAACAAGTTTCAGTCAGCAAATCTACATTTATCATTCCTTTTTTCCTTCTGATGTAACTCAAGTTGTTATTTGCTGTTGGTCCTGTGATCCCTACTTATTAACCCAGATTCCAGTAAAGAATCGGTGTCGTGTATCTTTCCTGTTCTTTGCTGTTTTTTTGAACTCAAATGTTGCTGGGACTTGACCTTTTCTTTCAACATTTTCCTGTCATTCACTCAGAATGAAGTGTTTTATTCCTGAAGCTTACTCAAGTTTGTTAATGAAGAGACAATTCTGAAGTTTACTAGAAAGAAAAAGTCACTTCCAATATGTAGAAGTAGAAAATTTATACTCATGTATGTAGAGAGTTCAAACTGCTGAATTTTAAATTTCAAAAGCAAAGGTATGGAATTATCAGGTTGTTTCAACAATTATCTCTGTGGAAAATAAAATATTTTGAAATTTAAACGTAATATTTCTTTCTTTCATTTCTTTTTTGCTTTTTCCTTAGTCAGTATGTAAATATATTAACTAATTCAATCACAAAAGCCTTGTAAATTCTTGTTCTCTGACAAACATTGTAATCTTAAAATCTTCATTTTAATCTTAAAATTTTAATCTTAGAACATTATTCAAGGGGCTGGAGCGATAGCACAGCAGGTAGGGCGTTTGCCTTGCACGCGGCTGACTCAGGTTTGATTTCCAGCATTCCGTGTGGTCCCCCAAGCACCGCCAGGAGTGATTCCTGAGTGCATGAGCCAGGAGTAACCCCTGTTCATTGATGGATGTGACCCAAAAAAGGAAAAAAAAAAAACATTATTCAAAATGTTTCTTCGTTAAAAAAAAAACTATTTTAAATAAAGTATTTTATCAAGGAAATATCAAGGAACAGCAATTATCCTAATCACAGGTAACTGAGAGAGCTTCCTCTGGCTTAGTGAGTTAGAATTCCTTCTAATATATCTGTTTGGACAGCTTGTCAAGCAGTCTTGTCAGGAGTCTTGAAGAAATGTCTGATTTACTTAAGGAGCATAGATCTGAGAAATTGTTATAGAAAGAGATTTTAAATTTATTAAAACTGAGCAAGTTTTGCCATCTTAGGTTATTTAGTAAATCACCATTAACTATTTCTATTGTGTATGTGTATGTAACCACTGAATTAATAAACGCTGGGCCAGAGACATAGTACAGGAATTAAGGCACCTAATTTGCATGTGGTAGACTCTGTGGTTTGACCTTAGCACCACATAAGGTCCCCAGAGCACTGCCAGGTATGAACACTGAGCACGAACCCAGGAGTAAGCCCTGAGCACTCCAGAGTGTCATCCAACTCTCCCGGAATTAATTGATTAATGCTAAATAGTTTCTGAAGAAATTAATTCATCATAACGATATGAGTGTTTTGAATGTTATGTCAAGTTACTGAAAATATTTTACTAAAGACTAAAGGACTGGGCCCAGGGATGAGGCTCAGTGGTAGAGCGCCTGTGTCTGGAGGCCTGAGATCTCCACTTGGACCCTCCACATGACATGCCAAGCGCAATTCTGGACACACTGTTGTTTGTGAGCCCTGGCATTACAACAAAGTCTTTGTTATCCAATGCATCAATAGGAAGATTGTATGAGTGCCACACTTAAATAAAACTTAAAAGTGGGGGTGCAAAAGCCAGCAAGCACTGCAGCCAAGTATAAGCAACAACAAAGAGAGGGAAGGAAGAAAAGATTTTGAGAGAACCGCATTGATTTCTAGGCCATCGAAGGCTTTGAGCAAGAATTTTACCTTTGGAACCTGTTTCCTTGTCTATAAAATAAGGTTACTGGATTAAAGTATCCCCAGAATCCACTTTCACTTTTAAATTCTTATTCTTTGCTTATCTCTTATTATGTCCAATGAACTTCTTATTATCCACAAGGATACCATATGACAGATTTATTTTTTAGCATCTAGAAGAAGCACAAACATATGATATCAAAGCACATAGAAATAATATATGAGAAGAGAAGAGATTACAACTTATTGGAAGAGACTTATAATTATCAAAAATTTTAAATGATTAGAAAGGTTGATAATAGAGGGAATGGTGCAACAGTAAAGTGTAATTGGATCCTATCTCATTTCCAGCCCCTGGAACTCCTACCCTCTTTAGTCATATACCACCCACCCCGTATCCATCTTTCATTTCTAAAAGAATTTTATCTGGGAAATATTTTCATCTAGGGATGTGAGGAACATTGGAAGATAGCAACCATAAAACAGAGAATATAAATGAAAATGTTTATAGAAATCCTTTGATCGGCCACCCTTTCAAAACAGATCGCTATATTTCTGGCAAATTCCTACTTCCTGTCAGGAAACTTAAAGGCATTTCTTTGGAGAAACAAAATGATCTCAGAGAAAAAATAAAATAGACTGGAAGATCAGATTTTCAAAAGCTCTAATACAAAGATTCCAACCTTGAAAAGTTAGCTTTCATTCAGCTTTTATGGTGACTCATACAGAGACAAACAAGGAGACGCAGACATTTAAGAATGTCTGCCATGTGAGAAAGAAAAATGAAAAGGAACCCAGGGATCACAGAAAACTGAGTGCCAGGCAGTGTCCTAGAGTCAAGGAGCACTGGAGCACCGGAGCACTGTCATCCCATTGTTCATCAATTTGCTTGAGCGGGCACCAGTAATGTCTTCCTTGTGAGACTTATTGTTACTGTTTTTGGCATATCGAATACGTCACGGGTAGCTCACCAGGCTTTGCCACCTAGACTTGACTCCTAGAGTCAAGGAGACCATCAATAAATAAAACAGAATAATATCTCTGTTCTCCTTAGGCTTATTAATTACAGTGCAGTTATGGAAGTAAACAATTAACAAAGTAACTAAATAAATACCTACACAGTATATTTGAAAGAGGGGCCATGTGGGATGCCAGGGAGCCAACCCCTGGTCAGCAGCATGAAGACAAACACCCTCCCTGTTGTACTATCACTCTGGCCCTGGTTTTATTGTTTTTCGTTTTCTTTTTTGCTCAGGAATCACTACTAGTAGGACTCAGGGGACTATCGGGGTTCTGGGGATCACACCAGGGATGGTTTGCTAACCGGGTAAAGGCAAGCGCCCTACCTGCTACGTTATCTCTCCAGCCACTGAGAACCGAACCCACCATGGAGGTCATTTGAAACTGTGACAAGATCCTATTAGTGATATAGTGGACTCAGACTTTCAGAAACTGGAAGGGATAAAATTGGTGAAATCTTTGAAAGGAGGGCTAAGCAATAGGGGTACTATTGCTATAAAGGAGTCAAGGAGTTAAAGGGGAGGTTGCTTCTTCTATTAAATTTTTTAAAAATTATTTGTAGGACCGTGATTTACAATACAGCTAATGATAGGATTTTAAGCATACAACACTATAATACCACCCCCTCCATCGAAGTGTCCCCCCTCATTATCCCTCCCATTGATTTTTTAAATGGAAGATGCTTACAGAGAAAAGCTTCTTCTAAATTATAATTAGTATTATCAGATAAATAAGAAACAATACTAGGACGCTGTTATTAAAGGCAGTGAAAAGGACTAACAAAGCAGAACAAGTTCAAAGAAACAGAATGGCAGAATTTTTAAAATTCACTAGTGAGTTGAATATATATTCAAAGAAATATAAAGATGATGAAATTAAAAAGAGAGAAGGGAAGAAAATGAGAGGTTTTATTCAGAGAGTAAAATACTCCCTAACAGTACTTTCAAAGATACAAGAAAAAGTGGAGAGCAAATTATCAAAGAAAGGATAGAGAAATAATTTCCAGATCTGAAGGAGATAAAATTCAGAGACTGGTTAGTGTCTAACATGATGAATTACAGAAATAAGACAAAAACCATCCATCCCGGGGGCACATGATGAAATTTTGAACAATGATGATAATGAAGAGTTGTAGAAACTTTCGAAAGAATGAAATCATGTAAAAAATTAGCAAGAATCCCGCCTCCCCCAGATGGAACCCCGGTGACCAGAAACCTCTACAAGCACAGCTCAAGTATGCGGGAACTAGGACTTTTCCTCAAAAATGCCGGGAC